TAGGAATGGGTGGCTGCCAGGATTGAGGTGGCCACTGGGCTTGGGGTGGCCACTGCTGGGCTGAGGGGAGCATCAGGTATCAGTAGCCATGGGGGTTAAGGTGGCCACTGGCACTGGGGTGATTGCCAGGAATCCGTGGCCGTTTCACAGGCATTGGTGGCCACTAGGGTTGAGGTGGCCACCACCAGGCTGAGGGGAGCACCATGTGTTGTGTTTACTGGGGTTAAAGTGGCCACCAGGGTTGAGGTGTCTGTAGCCAGACTGAAGTGACCACCAGGCATCAGTGGCCATGGAGTTAAGGTGGCCACTGGCCTTGAGGTGACTGCCAGGCTTTGGTGGCCACTGGTAGGCCACCAGGAGGCTAAGGGGAGCTCCAGGAGTTGGTGGCCACTGGGGTTAAGTGACCAGCACGGTTAAGGTGGCTGTAGCCAGGCTGAAGTGACCGCCAGGCAGTGGTAGCCACCAGGCTTTGGGTGGCCACTGGGCTTGAGTTGGCCACCACTGGGTTGAGGTGACCACTGATACCACACTCCACTGGCTGTGGGCTAGTGGTTGCCTCAAGAACACACTCCTTTGTGGGAGCTCTCCCTCCCCTGGCTCTGCACATCTTCCCCCAACATCTGAGAAGGTTCTGAGCAGAGCTGACTTCTCCTGCTTGGTGTTGCTGCAGTACAAAGAGAAGTGTTTTAAAGGCTGATTTTAAAGGATTCCTCTTTGTCTCTTCTCACATTGCACAAAGGGAAAAAATGGTTCAAACTCGTTAATTAGAAGAACTTTTCTGACAAGGACAGAAGGGTGAGGACAGTTGTCAGAGCCTGGCGAGTCACGTCCTGGGGAGGTTGGGTTTTTTTTCTGGAGGGCAGGCAGACAGCTGTGCTGCTGGAGAGGAGAACACAATGTGAACAGCCCGTGGGTCTCATTTTTTTCTTCCTCTCCTTTCAGACATTGTCTTGTCTCTTTCTCTGGAACTGTTTATTTAGCTAAACAACCCACAAGGCACAGGTGGGAGAGGAAAAACCTTTGTGCAAACCACAACTCTTCCCCTACAAAAAGCCTGAAGAAGCTCAGCCTTACCCCTCTGGCACAAACAGGGAAACTTAGTCTTTCTTCTAACCTCAGATTAGAAAGAAAAAAGGAGAAAAGCCACAAGCTCTGTGAGCTTTCTTTAATGTGAATGTTATCAGGAGGCAAAAGGCCAAGCCCTGACACCTCTCTCCTCTTTTAAACATCATTTTTATCCTCCTTTGTGACAGAGTGCAGCAGGACTGGTGCATTCTCTGCAGGAGCCTTTGTTGCTCTGTGGTTGGGGTCTCACCTCCAGCTGGGTGGGCACTCCTGGGGCTCTGCTGATGGTTTTGGACTGCTTAACCCACGTGGCAGTGCAGCTGAGGGATGGCAGTATGCTCTCAGCTCTGTCTGCACATTGATTTTTGGATGCTGACATCCAGCACCAGGCACCTGTGTTCCCACTTGGTGTCCTGCTGTCTTAGCCACAGCCAAAGATGATGTTCAGTCTGTGTGTGCTACAGCTGGATCTCCTCCCGCCTCCAGCCCCATTCAGTAAGAGCTGATGCCTCTCCCCACACTCCAGCACAGAGTCCCACCAGCTGATGTTGCTCATTTGCCTCCCATCCCTTGAGGTCTGTGTCTGTGAAGTGCCAAAAAAAAAAGCAGACTCTAAAAGATTCACCTGCAGGAGATTGCTGCTGTGCTGAGGAGAGGACGAGGCAATGGCCCATCCCTTCAGAGCTCAGCACACATCCAGGACAGCCTGGCAGGCAGAGAGGAGGTCCCACAGGCTTCCCAGGCCCTGGAGCTGCTTCCCAGGCAGGGAGGGATCACACAGCCTCCAGCGAGGTTAGTGCACAGGCAAGAGGTAGAGCTCAGACAAGTCCTGGAGCCTGGCCCAAGCCTTCCTGGTGTGATCCTGACACCTGGCTGACAGAGCAGGTGCTCAGGAAAATGCTGTTACCTGTTTACAGAGCCAAGAATGTTCATCCCCATCCATTCAGGAACAAAGGCAGTTTTGGCCACAAGAATGTGGAAAGTCCCCAATGGATTCCTGTGCACAAATAACCACCTTCCTTCATTTTTTCACCTGTGTAGCCCCTGCACTCTGCCCTCCTTATCTCTCCTCACCCAGTGGCCACATCCAAATCTCCAGTTTGTATTCCAGGGTCTTTAATTCTGTCTGTCTCAGCCTTGGAACTGCCCTGGAAGGCTCTTAAGTGCTTTTGTTGCCACAGTTGATGGGAGCAAAACCTTCCAGGCTGCATTAGTGCTGCTTCAGGCTGGCAGGCAACAGATGGAAAATAAACTAGTTCAGGAGCTCTGGGGATGGTGGTGGTGCTGCAGGCAATGGAGAACAGGCACAGCTAAACAGAATGCAGAGTATTTCTGCTCACAGCTCCAGGCTTTGGCGGGGGTGGCAGGGGAGGCTGCCCCAAGTGATGGGTCACAGGGGACATGCCGTGGGCTGGCTGGCAGTGAGGGGCTTGTCCCACTTGCCCCATGTCTCCCTCTCACACCAATGTGGAGCTTTCTTGTTCTGCCTCCAAGTTCTCCTTTTTTTCTTCAGTGCTGAGACTGCAGAGTGGAAATGACTGGAAGCATCGAGAGCCCTTCTGAGGCTGCTCCAAGGGGGATGTTGTGTTTGAGTAGTGTCTCTCACTGGATGATCTCTGTGTGGGCTTTGCAGAGGGAGAGACTGAGGCACAGGGTGGCTGAGGTCTTGCACAAGTTTCTGGAGAGGACCATGGGGTTTGGGGCTCCCTGATGGATGGCAGAGGGAGCAGGGGGCCAAACTTTTCCTTCCAGTCCCGAGGCTGGAGACTTGGAGAGACAGTGAGCAGAGCAGGACAGTTGTGGGCAGTAATCCTGGCATGGATCTCACCACAGGTGGAAGTTACATCACTTTCTGCAGAGTTCCAAGGGCTCAGCTCATTCCCTTTGTGTTTTTGGTATGTGGATGCTCATGGGTTTGACTGCCTTTGTTTCCCTGCAGATCAGTTCATTACAGCAATCACCACCCCCAGGTATTCTGGATATCTGCAGGTTTAGGACTAACTATGTGGAAAAAGTGGGAAATTTTTCTGACAAAAGACTTTGAGGCTGACTCTGAGCAAATGGTTCAGTTTGAATTTCTCAGCCAGATGTAGTTTTAATATGCTCATGCCAACAGTTCCTGGACACCAATCCCTGTGGTAAATAGCACAAAATCCTGCCAAGGGGTGTTAATCTTTCCACTGGATGGTGTTTGTGTGCTGGGCAGAATGCAGATTAACTCTGGAGCTGAGAGGGGCTGGAGTGAATTTCTGAAGGAGGTTGGAATGAAATCTCACTTGGCTCTTTTCCCCGAACCAGGAGCTGGCTCTGAAGTCCTTGGGAAATGAGGGGCTGTTTCTCTTTTCCTCTCTGGACACAAACAACGACCTGTACCTCAGCCCAGAGGAGTTCAAGCCAATAGCTGAGAAGCTGACAGGTAGGTCCCTGTCTGCCTTGCAGGACTCTCCCTGCAAAAACCAAAGCTACTGCACCCCACAAGTTTTATTCCCTGATTTATTATTGTTTTCTGGGTGCTCTTTTGAGTCTTATTTACATGAAGAGAGGCTGCTAAGCTTTACATGTTTTTGAAAAGGCTTAAACACTAGACATCACTTTCACAAAGTAGAGTTTTTATAAGGTGGAGGATCCCATTGCTGGACTAGCAAAGTACATAAGTTACTTTGTCTGGAGCTTAAAGGGGATTTGGGCTGGGTGAATGCAACAAATACAGCTCAGCCCAGGCTAGGCCAAAACCATGAGTGAGTCACAGTGTTCCATTCATTCCCTCCCCTGGCTGTGGCAGCCTCTCTTGGATAACAATTGTGGGAGATCATGTTTGGAGACTGTATCAGTGCACAGCAAATGTCTCTGCTGGTGCCAAGCAGGGAGAAGTGTGGGGAGGACAGTGTACAGTGGAGCTCAGAGTGAACACAGACAGTATTTGCTTGTGCTGTCATGGCTTGACTCGAGCACGTGTTGGGATTGCTCCAAGGTGCAGTGAGGCTGCAGCACTGAGCTGTGGGGTTTGGAATCATGGAAACACAGAATCCCAGGCTGGCTTGGGTGGGAAGGACCTTAAAGGTCATCTCATTCCACGCCCTGACAGGGACACCTTCCACTAGACCACATTGCTCCAAGCCCCATCCAGCCTGGCCTGGAACACTCCCAGGGATGGAGCAGCCACAGCTTCTCTGGGCAGCCTGTGCCAGTGCCTCAGCACCTCACAGGGAAGAATTTCTTCCCAATATCCAAGCTAATCCTGCTCTCTTTCAGTTTGAAGCCTATTTGGCGGCTCCTCTTTAATTCATGCAGCCAAAGCTGGTCTCCAGGGTGGGTCTGAGTTCTGCTGCTTGGGGACAGCTGGGAAACTCCCAGTGCTCCTGGATTTGCCAGGATAAATGTGTAATCACTTCACAATTGCTTAAAAGGGGAGGGAGGGGAAACAGCTGTTTAAATTCCTGTCCTTTTGTCTAGGAGTTGCTCCCATCGTGGAATCAGAAGAGGAGGAGACGCCTGATCCGAGTGGGGAGACACTGACTGTTGTGGCTAAATTCCAGCCTTTGGTCATGGAAACAATGACGAAGAGCAAGGATGGTTTCTTGGGAGTAGGTGTCATGCATGGTCAGAAATTGTGGAATAATCACATCCTGTGGGCTGGTAACATCCCCAGGAATACGTGGAGTGGGACATGGTCCTGCTG